CTCAAGGGCTTCAAATCTTCGCCCAGGACATGCTCTGGGAACATCCGGGCAGGACCCCGCGACCCGCTTGCAACGTGCGCGACGCACTGCCACCGGCGTCCAACATGCGCGGGGACGTGTGCATCAACGCACCCAGGTACAACAGGTGGGGAGGGTAATTAGAATTAAGGGCCAGTCGGGTAAGCAGCCGAGGGCAGACAGTATCGAACACCTTCTTCAAGCCCCAGTGGAGCGCAACGGACGCAGATCCCTCGTGGAGCGCACACTCTTGGTAGAGCTCACGAACCAACGTGGCCTTCAGGGCAGACGATCCCCTGACCGCCGTGTCCCAGAAGGCAACGTGTTCGGTAATCCGCCGATCAATGTCCGCCCTTCTGATCATAGTATACAGACGGTACAGGGTGGGGCATTTACAGATAGGTCGCTCGTCAACCTGGGACTTGGGGTACAGCGCAATGTGCCCGAGAAGGGTCTGCTCAGGCCAGGCCATTCGTTCTTCGCAATGCGAATATAAAGACGCCGGGGCATCAAGCGCCCCGGATGGAAGCTCAGCGACCGCTCGGGGCTTCCATCCGTCAACTCCCCCAGCAGTAGTGGCATGGAACAACTTACGCATCTGAATGTCCTGAGCCGTGATGGGGGGGGGGGGCTCCCGGGCAGCCTCCAAAGCGACGCCGTGGAGGTCAGACATGGCGGCCCCGACCTCATCATCTCTTCAGGCGAAACCTGCCAAAAGCCCCCCCCACAAGTGAGCCCGATGATCCATCATCTCTTCAGGCAACTGTTTCACGCCTTCGAGGGACTTGAGAACCCCATCAGTATTCTTATTGCCGCGTTTAAGCCATGAGTGGGCCCCTCGAGCCCCATAGGGGTGGCGCAGACGAGCCAGTCCTTCAGGCCCTTCCTGGCGGCCGCCTTAGCTCCAGCCCGGGCGCCCCTCAGAACCTCAGTGGTGATCTCAACGCGGCGATCCGCCATCTTGGGGTCAGCTACAGTCCGATGAGTGACTCGATCGGTCCGCCAAGGGACAGGCTGGGCAGCAGGCGAGGCGGGCGAGAACTTGCCAACCCGAGTGACCATCCCCATGATCAGGCCTTGGACTCGGCACTCGGTGGAGTCTCGTCGAAGAACAGTGCGAAGCTCAAGCAGCTTAGCGGAGAAACGCGACCAGAACGCGAGGGCTGGATTCCGATAGGCTGTTCCCATACCTCCTTTATGAGCGATGGTGGACGTGACCAGACGTAGAGCAGCGCCTCTCCCTCCATACTTACCTTCATAATCGCTATCGGTAGCAGCACAAGCACGAGAGAGGAACATGCGCTCAGTAGCACGAGACCACAGGGAATGCTGCACAGACGCCTGTTCATCCAAGTGCTCCTTCGCACGAGGGATGAGGTGCGCCAACTGCACAGGGCACTCCGTCTTCATCGCTGCGTCGCCGGAACGGATCTCCTGAAATTACCCCAGTGCGACCCTACCTAGAAGTTGGAGCCCCTAGGAAAGCAGCATTAGTTGCTATGCTATGCTATGCTATGCTATGCCATGCTATGCTGCGCTCTGCTGTGCTGTGCTATGCTATGCTATGCTATGCTATACTGCGCTATGCTATGCTATGCTATGCTATGCTATGCTAAGTTATGCTATGTCATGCTGCGCTGTGCTATGCTATGTTGCGCTATGCTATGCTCTGCTATGCTATGCTATGCTAAGCTGCGCTATGCTATGCTATGCTATGCTATGCAATGCTATGTTGCGCTATGCTATGCTATGCTATGATATGATCGGCTATGTTATGCGATGCTGCGCTATGCTGTGCTACGCTATGCTATGCTGTGCTCTGCTCTGCTATGCTAAAGCTCAGCGAAACTAAGATGAAGGTCAACTAAGCTAAGATAACACTGAGGTAATATTAAGCTAAGCTAATGTCAGATGAAATAAGATAAGATGAGATAAGCAACGCGACGCTAAGGGAACGTCACTGGGGGAACCGCGGGGCGGATGCCGGGGGAACCGCCCGGGGCGGGCCCCACTGCCCGGCCCTTTAAGCACACCGAGTAAGAACCCTTCTAGGCAGAGCCTAGGTAGGGAAAAAAGGTAACGCCGCCAGGGAAGGTCAGGTCCAAGGCAAGCTGGGAAGTCACGCGGGCGGACTCGCCGACGTAACCTCTGAACCAAGACGCGGTGGGCGATATGGACTGACAGACACTTGTGTGCTTTTAAATGGGAGGGCTCAAAGACTCCAACTTGCACATAGGGAGCCAGATCCTGGGAAACCAACGCGTAGTCAATCATAGTGCCTGACCCCTGCGAGCATGTGAAGTCAACCCCTACTAGTGCCATCACCCGAGCACGTGCAGATTGGGGATGCCCAGAGAGCCACATCGTTTCATCAGTATTGAAGTCCCCGACCAGCATCTAGGGAATCCCAAGAACACGAACGAACTCGGCGATGCCCCGCATTGTGGTCAGGTTTCCCCCCGCGACTCCCAGGCTCGAGACAAAACGACAGACCACAGCAGCTATCGCAGCTTTCTTGGTTTTCAATTCTAAACGCGTCCATCCTGGGCCCGAACCAATATCGGTAACCTTGCCCATATGGGCCAGGAAATGCTTACAGTGCAGGCTCTTGCTCGCCGCAATCCCGACGCCCCCGTGCGTCCCACCGCCCCCAGTTGGAAAACCCGCTTGCAGATGCGGCCTCCAACCCATCGCGGCGATCTCTTTCTTGGCACGAGGCAATGCACTCTGCTGCAGGCGGTGTTCGCAAAAGATGAAGGCATCGGAGCGGCCCGGGAGGCCAGGCGAAAAATCTTGAGCAACCTTAGACCATGACGTGATGTTGCAATGCACCTGGACACCTGCATGCTTATCATCAGCATCTTCTTGGCAAACATGGGGCAGACCGTGCGTGCGTGTTTGCCTTGGAGGGGGGGGCCCTTCGGGTGCTCGCCGAGCTCTTCCCCTACCGCCCCCCCGCGGCAGCGGATCCCGCCCACGTTGCGCGAAGCGGCAGCGCGATTCCCACTCCTCGTGCCGACGGCAGCCCCCGAATGGGGGCCTGCGGCACTCGGGGGGCCCGCGGGCCTCACGACTGCCACTTCCTCCACATCGCTTCCCCCTGAAGCCCCCGCAGGGGTGCGGCAACAGGGGTGCCTGGGGTGCGCCGCTCACGCGCGCGCGCACTCACGCACTCGGGCTTCAGACACTCAGCACTCCAAAGTATGCTAAAGAGAGTGCCCTCCAGGCACAGGGACAGAGGCAGCCTGCTTGAGCTGCTCAGTGAAGTGCTCGTTGATCTGCGCCTTGGTGGTGCGCAGGCGCATGGCAGTGCGGTTCGTGGCGCGGGCCATGATGAGGATCTCCATTCGCTGCTGGTCTTCCACGGAGAGGATCTGCCCCTGCCCGCGCTTCCGAAGGACGCGCAGCTCATCGTCGCCAGCTCCTGCATCGTCACTGCCAGCGTCGCTGACAGCATCATCTTCAGCACTCTGGATGGTGGCGCGCATGGCCACGAACGCCTCCCCCAGTCCTGCAGGCACGTGGTGCTTGCGCGCCCAGGCCGCGAGCACGTCTGCCGACTTGGTGGCGAAGTCGGGAGGCTCCACGACCATGGGCGCTTGATCAGCGTCGCCGGCAGCGCGAGGAACTCCAGCGGGCTCGGCGGCCGCGCGCGCCGCGCCTGCAGCGGCGGGGGGCGCAGCCCCTCTGCTGGCGCAGGCGCTCGGCCTCAGCCTCGCGCGCCTCCGCTGCCTTGGCCTCCTTCAATACCTCAGGGTCGAGGGACTGCGTGGCCAGGTCAGCGTCGCGCTGGGCCTGCTGGGCGCCGCGCTGCGCCTCCTCGGCAGCTCGCAGGGCCTCGCGAGCCTCCTCGAGCTGGGCGCGGATCTTCTGGGTCCTGGTGCGCTTCTACTCCACCTCCGCCACCTTGGCCAGGCGGGTCCGCTCGATGTGCGCCGCAGTGTCGAGCTGCGAGGGGGTGAGGACCACAGCTGGAGGCGCAGGCGGCGCCGGATGGTCGCCGAGGGAACCTGGAAGATCAGGGCGCGCCGCCAACAGAGTAGCCGCGGCGGCACGCAGCTGCTCAGCTTGAGGGTCAGGCGCGGGTGCAGCAGGGGTGGCGGCAGGGGCACCACGTCCACCTCCGCCAGCAGCACCTCGATCGACGTAGGGTCCACCGCATTTCGAGCACGACTCATTCCCACGATTGACGTACTCCCAATGGTTGCAGGAGGGGCGCACGTAGTACTGCCCCTGCTTGCGCCTGCGATGGCGCCATTCACCATGGTCGTCCCGCTGTCGAACACGACGAGAACGATCACCTTTATCATCCCGTTCATGCTTGCGCCACGCAGGGGTCCTCGTCGCAGAAGACCAATTCCACGGCATCCGCTTTGGCAGACAAGGAAATTGGAAACTCCACAGTTTACCCTCGCCCGTCAAGGCGAGCGGAGAATCGAGACACTCAGGTGCCTCGATCCAGACCTGGGCGATCAGGCCGAGAAGCGGAAACAAACCGCGGACTAGCGGTATCCAGGTGTTCCCTTGTGGAACAAACATCTTGAGCCAAAGTGGCTACGGGGGGGAGGAGGAGGAGGCGGAGGAGGAGGAGGAGGAGGAGGAGGAGGAGGAGAAGGAGAAGGAGGAGGAGGAGGAGGAGGGAGGAGGAGGTGGAGGAGGAGGAGGAGGAGGAGGAGGAGGAGGAGGAAGAGGAGGAGGAGGGGGAGGAGGAGGAGGAGGGAGGAGGAGGAGGAGGAGGAGGAGGAGGAGGAGGGAGGAGGCGGAGGAGAAGAAGGAGGAGGAGGAGGAGGAGGAGGAGGAGCATGAGGAGGCGGAGGAGAAGAAGGAGGAGGAGGAGGAGGAGGATGAGGAGGAGGAAGAGGAGGAGGAGGAGGAGGAGAAGAAGGAGCATGAGGAGGAGGAGGAGGAGAAGGAGGAGGAGGAGGAGGAGGAGGAGGAGGAGAAGGAGGAGCTGGAGCAGGAGCAGGCGGAGGAGGAGCAAGGAGCTGGACAAGGCGCCGGCGAAGAGGCGCAAGAAGAGGACTGCCTTCGAGGAGGCCCTTGCACTCGAGGAGCTTCTCCCGGGCGTGCGCCCGGCGCCCTCTGCCGCTTCTTCGGCGCGCGCGCGTCATTCCGGGGGGGTCGAGGTGAGCTGGCCGCGGCAGTCGCCATGAAGCAAGCGGGCCCTGAGGGAAGTTACGGTCGGGACCTTTGGGATAGCGTGTCGCGCCGCTGGCTCTGGCCCACCACGCTTCGGCGCGTCACGCTATCCACTTCCCAGTTGCAGAGCGTCAACGTCCCGAGCATTTCCGAGCATCCCGCCCCACGGAGCGGAGCGACAAGCTGTCCGCTTGCCAGGCGCAGCGAGTCGCTGGGGCCACCGCCGCGACACGCCATGCAGAAGTTCCTGGCCGTAATCCTGTTGCATCTTTGGGGAACTCTGTTTGTCCCGTAAATCTCTTTCTTCTCTGATGTTCGACGTGTGGTCGGCGCGGATTCGGCGTGGCATCGGTATCGACGTGGACTCGACGCGGATTCGATGCGATAGACATGTACTCGACGCGGGTAGCGTCGCGACGGGACAGACAAGGTCTCCCGAAGATACGGCATAAGGGAAGCGGTCCTTGAGGTTGTTCTTTTGCCTCTCTCGGCCTCCAGGGGGGGCCTGCTCCTCCTCCTCCTGCTTCTCCTCTTCCTGCTCCTCTTGCTCCTCCTGCTTTGCCTCCGCCTGTTCCTCCTCCTCCACCTCCTCCTCCACCTGCTCCTCCTTCTGCTCCTCCTCCTTCTCCTCCTCCTCCTGCTCGTCCTGCTCCTTCTCCTCCTCCTTCTAAACCTTCAAGGCACCATTCAGAATTAGCAGCTAGTCGTGCGACGGCCCCCCCGAGTCCACGACCCGCTTCTCTAAGGATCAGTCTGCTTCATGCCAAGGTGAGCGGGCTGATGATGATGATGATGATGATGATGATGATGGTGATGATGATGATGATGATGATGAGTATGAGCATGATGATGATGATGATGATGATGATGATGATGATGATGATGATGATGATCAGGATGATGATGATGACGATGACGATGATGCCATTGACAACGATGATGATGACGATGATGATGATGATGAGTATCAGGATGGTGGTGGTGGTGATGATGGTAATAATGATGATGGTACCGTCGACGATGATGATGATGATGAGGATGATGATGATGTTGATGACGATGGCGGTGACGATGGCGATGATGATGACGATGATGATAATGATCAGGATGGTGATGATGGCGACAATGACAATGATAATGATAATGGTAAGTATGATGGTGATGATGATGGTGATCATGATACTGACGAGGCTGCTGATGATGATATTGATGATGGTAAAATTTTTTAATGATGATGATGGTGACGATGATGATGACGATGATGATGACGATGATGGTGGTTTTGGTGGCGGTGATGATGGTGATACTGATGATGGTGATGAGGAGGATGAGGAGGATGATGATGACGACGACGACGGCAATGTCGACGACGATGATGATTATTATGATGCTGATGCTGCTGAGGATGATGACGATGACGATGACGATGGCGATGATGATGGTTATAATGGTGATGATGATGATCATGATGATGATGATGATGATGATTCTGGTGGTGTTGGTGTTGATGCGGATGGTAATACTGATGTTGACGAATATAATGACGGTGAGGATGACAATGACGATGATGATGACGATGATGATGTTGCTGACGCTGATGATGATGAGGATACAGATAATTTACGACAATGATGACGATGTTGTTGATGATGATGGTGGTGATGGTGGTGATGATGATGGTGATAGTGATGATTCTGATGATGACGATGATGATGAAGATCATTATGGTGATGATTACGATGAGGATGATGCTGCAGATTATCATGATGATTGTGATGACTACGACAACGTCGACGACGACGAGAACGACAACGACGGCGATGGCGATGATGATGCTTATGACGATGACGATGACGATGACGATGATGATGATGATGATGATAATGATGGTGGTGGTGGCGATTGTGATGATGATGGTGGTAATCACGACGATCATGATGATGACTATGATGATGGTGATTACGGTAGTAACGATCATGATGATGACGACTACGATGATGATGATGCTTATGATGATGATGACGATGATGATGAAGATGATGATGATGATTATGATGATGATTCTGGTGGTGGTGGTGGTAGTGATGTTTATGCTGGCAACAATGACGACGACGATCATGATGACGACCCTGGTACTTGTGATGATCTTATGGTGGTAGCGATGATGACGATGCTGATGACGATGCCGATGATGATGATGATGATGATGATGATGACGATGGGGATGATGATGATGATGATGCTGATGATGATGATGATGATGCTGATGATGATGATGATGATGATGATGATGATGATGATGATGATGATACTGGTGATGACGATGATGATGACGACGATGATGCTGCTGATGATGAGTATGGTGCTGATGCTGGCGGTGATGCTGATGGTGATACTGCTGATGACGACGACGCTGCTGATTGTGATCATGATGCGTGTGATGATGATGGTGATCATAATGATGGTGGCGATGCTGATGTGTATGATGGTAATGATACTGATAATGGGGATGACGACGACGACGACGACGATGATGATGATTATGATGATGATGATGGTGATGATGCTACGTATCATGATGATGGTGGTGGTGATAATGGTGAAACTGAGGATGATGACGTTGATGCTGATGACGATGATGAGAATGATGATGACGATGGTGATTATGATGATGACGATGATCATAATGATCATGATGATGCTGATGATTATGATGCTGGTGGCAATGCTGATGGTGATACTGCTGATTACGACGACGATGACAATGATGACGATGATGATGGTGATGACGACGAGGCGTAGGACGATGACGATGATGATCATGATGATGTTGATGATGATGATGATGGTGATGATGACGACGACGATGTCGATGACGACGATGATGATAATGATGATGATGACGATCATGATCATGATGATCATGGTGTTGATGATGATGAGGGTGATTCTAGTGATGACGATGATGATGATGCTGATGGGGATGATGCTGATGCGTGTGATGATGATGATGATGATGATGATGATGATGATGATGATGATGATGATGATGGTGGTGATGATGATGAGGATGATGATGAGGCTGCGGCCCGCAGACGGAACGGGGTTTCAGGTACGACTCTTCGTAGAGCTGCACAGGGCTGGCATGCTCGTGGATGGTTCGGTTGTGGAAATGTGCAGATTCGGCTATCCGTTTTGGGGCAGCATCGTCGGCCTTTAGGGCAGTGTCGTAAGACAGGAAGGGCGAAGGTGGTGAAGTCATATGCAGGCCGAAGGTCTTCTCACGGTTTGGGCCTCCTTTGGCCTTTTGGGCTTGCCCAGAGGGCGCCCAGGAGGGCCCAAGCGGTTCTCAAGATGGGTCGGGCATGGGCCCCTGGGGCTGACTTAGGGCACGTATATGTGTATGAACATGTGTATATGTGTATGTACGAGTACATGTAGATGTATCTGCACACGTCTATGCATGTTTATATGTACCTATACGACCACCCTTCGGGTGATAAGGAGGTTCGGGGGGGGGGGAACCAACGTCTCACTCGATCGGTCTCACTATCGATCTCAGTATCGATCTCATTATCGGTCTCGCTCGATCGATCTCACTCGATCGATCTCACAATCGATCTCACTCGATCTATCTCATTCGATCGATATCACACTTGATCTCACAATCGATCTCACAATCGATCACACAATCGATCTCGCATTCGGTCTCAATATCGATCACTCTATCAATATCACAATCGCTCTCACAATCAACGTCATCATCATCATCATCATCATCAACATCAATATCATCACCAACATCGTCATCATCATGAGGGCACCGTCATCATCATCATCATCATCATCATCATCATAAACATCATCATCAGCGTCAGCATCATCATCGGGACAACATCATCATCATCACCATCATCATCTCATCATCATCATTATCATCATCGGGACACAGTCATCGTCATCATCATCAGCAGCATCATCAGAATCATCATCATAATCGGGACACCATCATGATCACCATCGTTCTCATCATCAACATTATCATCAACATCGTCATCATCCTCGGGACACCATCATCATCATGATCATCGCACCATCATCATCGACATCATCATCATCATCATCAACAACATCATCATCATTGGGGCACCATTATCATCATGAGCAACATCATCATCAACATCGTCATTATCATTATTCTCATCATCGGGACACCATCAGCATCACCATCATCATCACCATCATCATCATCAGCATCACCATCGGGACACCATAGTCATCATCAACATCATCATCATCATCAACATCATTATCGCCGGGACACCATTTCCATCAACATCATCATCACCAACATCATCGAAATTATCAGCATCATCATGATGATCATCATCATCATCATCATCATCGGGACACCATCATCGTCATCATCATCAACATAATCATCATCATCATCATCACCCTCATCATCGGGACACTGTCATCATCATCGACACCATCATCAACATCATCATCATCATCTTCATCGGGTCACCATCATCATCTCATCATCATCATCATCATCATCATCTCATCTCATCATCATCATCATCATCATCATCATCATCATCATTATCCTCGCGGGACACCGCGGGACACAGGCGGGACACCGCGGGACACCGCGGGACACCGCGGGACACCGCGGGACACCGGCGGGACACCGCGGGCCCCTGGCCGCCCAGAAGGGAGTCATTTGGTCCGGCCGCGCCTCAGCCACACGGGACACCAGCGGAACACCGGCGGGACACCGCGGGCCCCCGGCCGCCCGGAAGGGAGTCATTTGGTCCGGCCGCGCCTCAGCCACAGGAGACTTTCTTTCGCCCGCCCACGCAGCTTCGCCTCGCCCGCACGGCACGCACGAACACGAAACCGAAAT